ACTGTATTATTTTAACACGATGCAATATCGGTTCGTTGCTCAAAACGTTTAGACATTAGTTCTCCAGGCGTTTTTGTGATGAGCTCGGTAGTCTTAAACGACTACTGAACGACAACATTTTATAATAAATTGTCAAGAATGCAATGCTTGTTTGAATGTTTCGTATTTTACCTTTGTAAATTCTAAATGAAGCTGGAGGCCCCCCAGAATGATACCTCCTACTAACTCGTCACCGGGCCTGTCTTTTCTTTTCGTGGACTTTGTGCTGCTTCACTATCTCGTCCATCTCTGCTGACTTTTTCATGGTGGTAAGTTTTCGAAGACTCGCCAGACACTTTTGTTTCGTCTCTTTACTACGGCGACTCCGGCTGTCTCCACGCTTGTCGAGTAGACGTCTCATGCCTTCGGCCTTAGAGCCCCTGACTCTTTCACCTCGTTATAAGAGCGGTGCGGTTCGTTATGTCTGATCTTGTTGGTAGTTGGATATTAAACTTAAAACAAAAAAAAAATAGAGCACTGGATGCAATTTGTAGCTAGGGATCAAAACGGCAACTAAGACTTTACTATGTCACATACGAAACCGAAATAGCAATGATCTATTGAGATAAGTTGTTATTAAGGCCGTCATACGATGACTGTAATACTTTGTCATGATATCTTGAGTCTTTTAAGTCGTGGTTTCTTGTTCGTCCATACATGAAAAAATTGTTATGCATAAATTACACCCTTCCTCTTATTTGTCGGTTATTTACCTAGTTTCAGGGTGTTTCACAGAATAGGGCATATACCGAGCGGTCATCCCAAATTGACATATCACACATCATATCGCGATATATACATGTTGTAGTCCGGTTTCTACAATATACACTGAGAATGTGATTCGCAAACTTCGATCTGCCTCACTTATAACAATACCAAAAGATAGTTCTAACACACGCAATAGTTATTTTCGCCATAGTTTAGGTATGCCTCACACTCAAAATGAGCTCGAACGGCTGTGGCACACCATTGCCACACAGCTGGGCAACGCGAGACCAGCCCGCTTGTGCGAGGCAAAGTCGTCCACCTATATGTACCTCCGTCGCATATGGTGCCGCGACAGCACTACGCATAACGTACCCATATCCACATGCATCGTGAGATATATCATAATGTCAGTTGTCAATAAGTGGAAAGTCCCAATTCTACGTTCCTAACCGAGCAACCTTTTCTTACAGACTCCGCAAACAACCAGACGCTACCTTCGCGAAAAGAAAAGACCACGCACTCGCGACCGAACCCACCAAAAACCCAAACCACCAGACTCAACAACAAAATAACAACCAAAACAAAAAACAACAAAAACACAAAAAAGAAAAACAAAAAAAACAACAGCAACAAAAAAAAAAAAATAACCTGAAAGAAAAAAACCCCCCGCGCCCCGCCCGCCCATTTTTTATACCCCTGGAAATAATTACTGCACTTTATTCCTTATTCCTAAGTATGTATGCTGCGTGTATTTGTTGTCATATGTTGTGATGTTTTTTGTTTTGATGGCACCTTTTGAAAGGGAGAAGCATTTGTTTCTCTCATTGTACATGTATAATGACATTAAATTATTATATTCAATTCTATATAGAATGAGACAACACAGTTTGTATGCATTTTGTATGAATGCTTCAGCTCTTCAGACCAACATAGTAAGATGTGAGCATGTTCCTAATTGTGTTGGTATGCAGCCTAGGTCTGCTCTGTTTAATAAAGCAAATCTGCCACTTATATTCTAGAATTTGTTAAATTAAAGCAGTCTTTAATTGTTTGTCCTAAACATAGCAATATATTCTTTTGAAATGTAACATGTCTTGTGTATCACCTTTAGCTTGAAAATACATAAATGTGTTTTTTTTTATCTATAAGATAAATAAATAGACAGACACTTTATCAATCCCAAATTGGGAAATTATTTAACAGCAGCAGTGTGTTCAGGTATTAACATATTTAAAGTTGGAATAAAGTATAAACAAAACAACACAAGTATAATGCACAGCAATCCATAAGAGAAGTCCGATATGTTCATGAAAACTCACCAGGAGACACCAACACTAACTTGGCCGAGTGGACTCCGGAGTTTGCTGCATGAGTTGCACTGTATGATCTGTGGTGTAGTGGGCTGTCACTCAAACTGAGTAGCCAATGGGGACGCACCCCTGAAAGTCCCGCCCACCTGGGATGTTTGTGTCACAATCGAAAAAACAAAAAGTGAGGGAGCGCAAACGAGAAGAGCTGCAGCGAGAGCAAAAGTCTGATCATTGAGAAAGAAGAAAGAAGAACTGCAAACACAAAGATATGTAAAACAAAGAAAAAAGACTTATAGTTTACATGTTTACACAAATGATTTGTTTGCAACTTATAGTTTTATTTTTGAAATGTATTTTATTTTGTTTTTTTTTCTCTTAAACTCTTAGTTTTGCTTGATTCTGAGAAAGTGTTGCTTTATCTTTATAACACAAAACTAATCCCATATATTCTGACTAGATTACTGAATCAGAAATTCAGCACCAAAGAACAAGCAGTATACTTTGTTAACAATACGTTTATGTCAGGATGAAGTCCCACAAAGTCTTCCGTTAGCCTCCAGGGTTTAAATGTATTTCATGGAAAAATAATAAAAGAAGGCATCAGGAATATCTCCACTAAGCGGTAGTTATTTGTTTTTGCCACACGGTGTCACTAGTTACTTAGGTTATCAACAACCTTGAGTCCGAAAAGCATTCAGATTTATCTTCATTAATAACAGATCTTCATTACATGGACATTGCTTTGTTACATTTTAAATGTAACAAAGCTGTGAAGTCCAGTCTTTAAACGTTCACTAATGTTTTCAATGCTTTTCTCTCCTCAGCCCCCCGGCTCCACCCCACACCGGCACATAAAGCCACAACAGAGGCCCCCACATCCAGTCCATCTTCCCCCTCCACAACCACCACCAGCATCACTTTGACCTCGGCCCAATCAAAAGGCGTCCCAGCGTCCACGTCAGGCAGCAACAGCAGCACGGCGCTGAGCACCGCCTCCACCCAGGCGCTGCTGACCAGCCTGAGTCCCCCCACCGACAACACCACCGCCGCCCTGACAGACGTGTCCTGGACGCAGTTCAACATCATCATCCTGGCTGTCATCATTCTGGTGGTGCTGGTGCTGCTGGGCTTCGTCGGAGGCGTGTACACCTACCGCGAGTACCAGAACCGCAAGCTCAATGCCCCATTCTGGACCATTGAACTGAAAGAGGACAACATCAGCTTCAGCAGCTACCACGACAGCATCCCCAACGCTGACGTGTCCGGCTTACTGGAAGACGAGGCCAACGAGGTGGTGCCCAACGGCCAGCTGGCCCTCACCACGCAGGGCAACTGCTACAAGGCTTGACCCATCCGTCCACACACCGGACTGCTTAGATATACCGATTACACAAAGCTCCTGGAAAGTACCAAATCCAAAGTTCCTTCATGAATGACTGCTTGTTGTTTCGCTGCGGGTCTGCAGCACTTCACTACACAGTGAGATCAAGCAGATATGATCAAAGATATGGAAAAGACACGCAGAGTTTTCCCTTTATGATACAATTTTGTGTTGAAAGGGCGATCAATGACAAGGGTCCAAAGAGAAAAGTGTTTGGTTTGAGTTGCAGAGGGCACTGTTGTGCAGATTAGTTTGGTAATTGGCATGACGTACGACAGGCTCAAAGCAGACAGCTGTTGGCTGAAACGATGATCCCCACATTTGTCAGAGGACTAACAGGAGCCTAACATTTCAGATATTTAAAATTGACTTTTGACTGTTTATGTTTTAACTGGACCACTTGCACAGTGATCATCAACTGAGACAATGATTGTTATTTAATGCATTTTTTATCCTGTTCTTATTTATTGGTTGACGTTTCATTCTTGGGAGAAATGCTGCACATGTATGGTGTGTTTATTCATGGTGTTTTATCTTATGTGCTGTCGAACGGTAATTTGAATTGGCCAATGTGTTTTCATGTATAGTTTGTGTGTTTTTGGAGAGAATCATAGGGGAAGATGAAAGGTGCTGGCACAAGAATTTGAATGACCTCACTTATTGTTTATAGGTTCCTGTCTTTTGTTAAAGTGTGCCAGCTCACCTGAAGTATCTACGAGGAGTGTTTCTTTTGAAGGAACTACCACTACCGTCTATAAACTCCCACTACTACAGCTAGTGACTCATACTGGGACCGCATAAACCACCATAATCTACTTGGAATCTAGTCTGCTCTCCGCTGACTTCCTCAGCAAAAGTTAAACAAACGATTGGAAAATTGTTTCACATTTATGTAGAGGTTTGGTTCTGTGACTGAACATTAAAAAGACCTCTACTCTAGTATTGATGCTATTGCTATGGAGTGAAACCAGCCTGCACAAGGTCACATTGCCTCAGCCCACTGATCGTTTTGATCAACTAAACTCAAGTTGCATCACCTAAAATTGCAAGTTGCTTTCAAAGCTTTACACCTGATCCTGGGTGCGATGTTTGCTGTGTTGTTAGGATACCACTGGTTGGGTGCACTTCATTTTATGAATGAGAAAAGCTAATTCTGGAACTAACTCCTCAGGTACTGGTTCTTTCCCTAATCTGATCACTGTAAATATGATTATTGTACAGATGATTGTGAATAGTAGCACTATTATTGTACAGGTAGAATACTGTGTGTACACTGTCACTTAACAAGCTCCCAACCTTTCACCCTCCAGGGCAGGCACTACAGTCGGCCATCAGCTTTTTCTATTTTTATTTGTATTTCTTATTCTCAGTGGATTTTGCCATATATGCAGCTGTGGGACTAAAATGCACCAACCAGAACTCAAAACAAAGAATACAATTATGTAAATAATAACCCAAATCAGAGCTCAAATAAAGATGGATTTAACTGTTGTCTTTTTGTTTCTTGCATACCTTTTGTTTAATAAACACGTTTATTTGAAGACATACATTGTTCTGCTTGAGCGAACAACCTGCTGATACATGTTAAAATGAGATTAAATGAGAGAAACTTCAGCAGAGGAAAGTGAAAACGGCCTTCAAGTGTAAAAATATGCACAGTGATTCCCAAACATAAAAACGACTTTCCATCAATTATTAATATATTCATTATTCTGCTTACATTGAATGCAAATCCAAAACAGCATTTGTGCTGCTGCAGGCTACCTGCCGTTCTCTTTTCTACAACAACATCAAATATGGCTCTGCTCATGATCTCCATCCCCAGTCCATAACGTTCTGAAATTATTATAAAATATCAAAACTGCTGATAGGAACGATCGTGTACACTTTTCTTATGAATATTGCCAATTGTTTTTTTTTCAATTACTCTGACTTATCTGGCCACAACTAATGCTAAGGGAATTTTCTTTTGTTTTAAAAAATGTTTTGGGGACTAGCCTAGATTTCAAGTGAATTTGAGAATCATAAAGTCATAATCTTTTATCTACAAAGTTAAAAATAGTTATAAAGAAATGAAAATGCATTAGATCATCAGTCATAAAGATCCTGAGTCCAGGGTTACAAAACAAGGCTTTTCCAATATTATTATATTATTCAATCAAATAATCGCAACATGTAAAATATCTTGCATTTCCTTTTTCAACATGATAGTGTGTCAAGAAGCTGAAACTCATTTATTATGAGGACTAGCCCCGGTTGTCACTGTGGTTATTCTACATTGGAAGTTACATTGACAGAAATGTTGATGTTTCTTAAATCTATTTGGGCATATTTCTAGACTAGATCTGCAGGCAGGGGCAGAACGCTTCAATGGGTTTGATGTGAAAATAGCTCAACATTGGGTTTAACGAAAGCCAACCAGAGCAACAGGTGTTGGTAGAGATGAATGACCCTACCCTCATTGGCCCCTCCCCCACTGAACATCACAAATCTCAGTATGTACAGCAAGGGGGTGTATCAGGGTCATGTCATGTGATACTGGACAGTAGAAACCTCAATACATTCCTGTTATGGGCCAACTTATGAAAACAGGTGGGAGTGTGGAAGTTCTTGTTGACAATCCCTGTCGCCTGCTGAGGTCGAAACGTGAGAAGTGTCCGGAAAACAAAGTGCAGGAAGAGGAAGTTCATGTTTGAGTCGTGACACTCACTGAAACTCGGTTTAATCGAGACTCCTTGCGAATGCAGAGCTTTTCAACGTGGGCGACAGCTGGCTGATAAATAGAGATGCAGGATTGGAGCCGGAGACTGAGCTGCAAATGGAGGCCGAGCGCTGCTGCTGCTGCTGCTGCAGAGGGGAGGGGGCGTTACAGCCGCTCTCTCTGGTCCAGCCTGCCCCGCGGAGACAGACGCGACCCCCGTCCATGGCTCAGTGTGTGACCGTGGGGCTGCAGCTCCTCATCCTCGCTGCTCTTGCTCTCCTTCTCACGGTGGTGCTCGGAGGGCGAGGCCACCCCTTGTCACCGGACAGCCAGGTAACCTCTACACTCCAGCAGTGGCTAAATAACGTGTTAATTATTTTTGAAATCTGTGCCATCCAAAGTAACTAGCTAGTTTCAACTAAATTGACGCAACTGCTCGCGAGTTTTTATTCGCGGCTCCTAATCACAAATGTTCCCGACACAACAGGACGTTATACGGTTACGCATTTTAAATGGATCGACGTTTCAAAGCTAGTTAGAGTTGTCTTAACGTTGTACCAAAGTGCTCTGGAACTCCAAATAAACCCTAAGCTAGTTTGCGTACAGCAGCCTTCTCACCGGCGTTTCCCGGCGAATACCCGCCCCTTTGGTAAGTGCATTCAAACGGTGCACATTTAACTATTTACATGTTTTGTTCATTCAGTGTATGACCCTCCGACACAGTTTCACTCAAGCAGAAGGCTGTCGATCATCACTTTTGTACATTTAGATCCTCAGTTAGTTCATTTCTAGGAATATTGAAATATGCTAATTGAATAAATATTGTTCTGCTTTTACAATGGCATACACTTAACAATGTAATAACTAAATTAACACATGTATTTGTTAAAATATACTTATTGTATAAATAGCAAAAGCAATTGCAATTACAGTTGTGCTTATAATAAACACTTTCTACTGCATTTAAAGTATTGTAGTATTCCTTTTGTCTGTGTTATTCTAATGTCTTGCATTTTCATTGTTAATTATACAAAGTGTAATGTGTTTCCTTACAGCAGACGATGGAGCCTGAGATACAAGCATCAGGTAAATATTGATATCCTACTGAGATTAAAGGTTATGTTGTGAAAGCAGTTGTTCATTCATGTGTTGAGCAACCTTTGATTTGTCTTGTAGGGGGCAGCTTCGAACAGCAGCAACAGAAAAACTCTGGCCATCCAAGTGCCATGCTAACAGGTAGCAAATAAGCGCTAGGCTGCAGGGTTAGGGTTCTACGGACTTTTCTAGAAAGGCACTGATGTTTGTTTCAGAGTGAAGTCAACAAAGATACAAATATTGGTGCTTATTTTGACTTTGATGGTCTTGCTCTAGGATAAGAAAGAAGAACAGCTTGGCAGTAAACACAACATACCGCGTCGATTTTAATAGTCTATAGTATTTTGGTGTTACAAAACTTAAACAAAACAAACCATAGGAACATATATAGGAATATAGACTTGTGTTTTTAATTTATAATCATATTATAGAGACAAAAATCGACTACATTTTCAATTGTAGCTGTAGGGTTAGGGTTAGGGGTGTGTAGACTCTAAAGTTGACACTGACCACTGTGTAGACTCCTAGATTCCACCGGGTCCGTCTGCGTCGCGTTACGGCCGCCTTACAGCCGTTACGGCTGCGCCGCGGCGTTCGACAAGATCGCGGCCACTCTAGTCAATGGGTGCTATTCCACCAGACGCGCCGCGTTACGCCTCAGAAGCGTCCCAGAAGCGTCTCGCCGCTGGCCTCCGCTCAAAATAGGATTCAAGTCTATTTTTCGACGCGAGGCGTTGCAGAGGCAGCGGGCAGGAAGTGGACCGGTGACAGCATCCGGCCCATCCCCCAAATAAACTAATTTGCAGACCCTATCCCTCCTTAGTCTTTCAAGTAGGAGGAGAAATGCCAGCGTTCTCCTCCGGTTTACAGGGACTGTGTAAATTATATATATAGAATAATTTTGAGGATGAATGCATTTTTTTACCACTAAAATACAACAACACAACTTTGATTCATGTCGTTTATAACTGGAATATTACAAGTATTATTAACTTTGTCTGTACAAAGTAGCCTGTCCAGGAAATATGCCCAAATCAACAAAAACTGCGAGCCGGCAGGCAAGACGCTCCGCTTCTGAAATGCTTCTGAAACGCCCCCGGTAGGGTATGACGCCGGAGGAGGCCGGACCAAAACCGCGGCGCAGCCGTGACGCGACGCAGACGGACCCGGTGGAATCTAGGGGGGTTACAGTTAAAAATCTCTGCCGTGCATGCAAGACAATGCAGTTTTTAGCCTTACCAGCTTTTCTGTGTTGTCATATTATATTTATCGATACTAAAAAATAATTGCAGCCCTATTTACTATTCTGCAGGGAATTCTGTCTTTTTTCTGTCCAAGCCAGTAGAATGGCACAACAGGAAGCAGAAATGTGTAAGGGGAACCCTGAGCAATAATTTGGTTCCTCATGACGTTTTGATTTGACTCGAAGACTCAGACCTCCTGTGTTCCTCCTCACAAACAGACACTGAAGAGATTGGTTGTTATAAAAACATTTGGCTTTTAATTGCAAATAGTTGCCTATCTGTGCTTTAGCATATTCACAGCTTTCGTAAAAATGTCAGAAAAGGACCCGTCAGCAGAAACAGTCATCACCTCACTTGTACCTGTCTGCTCTCGTCCTTAGCTCCTACAGGCAATAAGACTGATGGGGATTATCTTCTATGGGAGAGTGATAAGGGAAATGCCTTCTGTCTTGGAGGTTTCATCTACTCCGGGGGAAGCCTTGTCGTGCCCCGAGACGGCCTCTACAGAGTCTTCCTGCAGATCACCTATGAGAGCAAGAGTCACTTCCACTGTAACCCGAGACTCAAGAGCACAGTGTTTGTTCTGCAGAAAAGTTACAATCTTGATCAACCTCTCCTGATGTCAGTAGACACCGTGAGTAAGAAATTGAAGAGGTGGAATAAATCCCTCTATACAGCCGGCCTGTTCTTCCTGGAGGCTGACAGCAGGCTGCGAGTGACATCATCATGCCAGGAACTTATTGTTGGGAACGAAGACCGTGTGTTCTTCGGTGCTGACCTTCTGTCTCAGTAATCTGACCGTTAGGATCACCTACATCTGCTCTGCAAGTAGTTTGCACCTTTAACCCCATGGAAACGTAAAGGGACAGTTTGGATGCTTAGAAGCAGGGTTGAATATGATACTTATCTATCGTCAGAGTTTGACCCATGCCATGTTTTGAATCTATTTGACATACAAACTGATCAAGCCAGCAGGAGACCTGACTTTTGATGAGGTCTGGTGTCTCAAAAGAGAGCACAGATAGCGGCTTAAGTTCCCCGTCAGAAAGGGCTGTCAGAAGGCATAAAATACACTAAGGTAAAGTTAAAATTATATACTGCATCTATTTATAAGAACCTCGCAACTCACGTCAAAATATCCAAACTACCCCTTTAAGGGAAGATAGCTAGTTTTCTGCTTTTCTTCTATTACTTCTCAGAGTCTATAGTAATGATAATGCAAGAAGCTGCCAGTATCTGCTCGACCAAAGTTCTCTATTCATCTCACACACTGATGATTAGTGATTTATTGAGAATGTATATATTTTTTTAAACATCCCAAACTCTTGTAACTTCACAGCCTTCTGACAGAATATGACTGTAAATGTATCCTATAACTTATTCTATAAGTTCAAGTATTTTGATCATTTATGCAGAACCAAGTTCATCATGCTTTATTTATTCATCAATTTTGAAAGTGAGGATTTTCTCTGTTTATGTTGATTGAATATCTTTGTTATTGAGACTGTTGGATGACACCAGCCGAGGATTTTAAAATAGTCAACAAGTATTTTCTGACATTTTACAATGTAAAAAAAAAGGGATATTCCAAAAGAGAATGAACAGATTTGTCTGTTGTTAACAGTAATATATCCGTTGAGAAGGCTAACAGATGTGTAGGCTGATCACACATGGAAAGGGTTTCTCTGTTCTTCTCTACAAGCCGGGTTTTGTGCTACAATATGCTGACATATGTTTAACAAGGTTAAAGCTGTGCTTTAATTTATTATTGAGTTAATTGGTTGTGGCGACACTGCACTCTAAATTGTTGCTATGCAAATTGAAATGTTCTTACTTTTTTGATGATTTGTGATTGTTTTGTGATGTATCTGTATTGCATTTTGTTAAAGAAATGTTACTTAAAACCTAAATAAAAAAATCCACCAAGCTCTTTCTTTATGTCACGTTTGTCCTAACTCTTGAGACATATTCCGATGTACCGGATGTTTCTCTCATGCCCTTTTCACACCAACGCGTTTTCAGCTCCGGCTTGGAGCTGGAGCCTGAAAAGTACCAGTTTTTCCTGTTCACACCGCAGCAGCGCCGCCTCTTAGCTCTGCAATCTGGTTCACTTCCAGCTCCAAAAAATTGTCGGTCTAGAGGCAAGAGCTTCGGAGCCAAGAGGCGGCGTCGCTTACGTCGAGGCGTGCAGGAAACTAAACCCACCTCCCCTGAACATGGGTCGACTGAAGAGTCTCGTCATGCCTGCCTACAAGCAGTAGTGCTTATAAACACACTTTATAAAGTCAGGCAACACTAACCAGGCTTCGTGTGATTCTGTTTATTTGTACCTCACTTTGACCATCCGTTCACTGTTATTGATCATTGTGGAGAGAGGCAGACGTTTTCTTTTGTATTATAGCAGCTATCGGATGGAATCAATACATGGGCTGCACAGGTTGTCGTGTCCGACTATCACAAGTAGAATCATAATAAAAATATGCCGGTAAAATGTGCCTGTAGAAAACGGTTTATGCCACAATAGGATAGCAATAGCAAGTAGTCAGTTTTGGGACACATTATTAACCATCAGCGCTATGTTTATTTCAAGGAAGAAGTGCAAAATGCAATTGAAACATTCAATTAATTCAATTATGAAACACCAAATTCATACAAAATACATTACATTTGAAATGTACTAACAAGCAAAACAAAAAATCACACAGTGCAAATTAAACATTCCCTCTGATCAGTAACCGGTGAAGGGTTGGAACAAGTTCTTCTAATTCAGACATTCAGAATTCATTTCTAATTAAATTCCTACAGAACAGTCTAAATAGTTTACATTTACATTGAGAAATTTGACGGTTTTATCGAAAGTGACTTGTAAGTCAGACAAAGATCAAACCCACAGTAGAGGAACAAATAAAGAACAGTTTTTAAAGTAATGGTTTTGTAATGGGTTCAAACCAGCACAGGGGTCCAAGTGAAGCCTTACCTAAAAACGAAATATTAAAGAATAGTACAGTAACATTAATATTCAACAGAACAGTACTATTCAATTGCAACATTCAATTGGACCTTTTAGAAACTAGACCAAATGTCTTTGTCAATCTCCACGTGGCGTGAGGTCACTGGCTTTGGAGGAGGAATCACTCTTAAAATGTCCTCAAAAGGGTACAAAAGCACATCCTCTCTCAGTGGCCAGAAGAACCGGTTGACTCCGGCAACGTGCATGCACTTTACCTGCACATGTGTGTCCATGATCTCCTGAATGACTCCTGGGTAAATATCTCCATAATATTTAAGGGCACACCACTGGCCAATTGAATCAGGACCCCACAGCCTTTCATTCTCTTTGCTGTTGCTTTTAGGTGCTTGAGGCAGCGAAGGGGTTGTTTGCTGAACCTCAAAACTAAAAGTATGAGTGTCATCACAGCGACACTCATAACTTTGTCTGGCGGTGCAAGGGCAACTTACATCTCGATACAAGATCTCTCCTGGTGCCCCTGTGACCACCTGGTGGATACGCATAGTTGAGGACACTGCTGGCAGATGACTTGGCATCTTGTTAATTGCTTCATCCACCAGATTCTCTCCGATGTAGAACACCCTAACTGTTCCGCTGTTGACCAAAGCACTGTAGAGATGTTCTGCTGAAGGGATGTCATGACCTTGGCTAACAAGCCTGTCAGCCGTTCGCTTCAGGAGGCCTCCACTAGCCCTTGTTTTATGATCATAGAAATGCGTTCCTGATTTCTACGACACGCCAGAGGTCTCAGGGGCCGTATTTTGTTCGCTGACGATGTGTTACAGGACAAAGACCGCTCACGCCTCTAGTAACGAACAAGTAGACGGGAGTACCGTTGTAGTCCGCCGGAAACGGTGTTGTTCCTCTTGTGGTCCTCCGTACAGTGTAAGATTGACCCTTCTAGGAATCTTTTCATACCTAATGTTTTCTTTAAGCGATGTCGTGATGTGTAGAGGTCTTTCTCCTTGTTCTTAACGACTTCGTTATCTTTCGATGGCTTCGATGCCGAAGCTTAAGTTCTCCCTGCTCCAGTAACGAATGGAACTGCTCTCTCCTTTCGTCGGCTAACTATCGTCCGTTTCGTGTTTAGTGGTCCGCCTTCTATTTCTTCTTCTCCAAAAATTACTATGGTGACTCTTGAGGTGTCCTCTTAAAGAGACTTGTAGATTAATTGTTAGAGAGCATGAGAACAAACAGCATACGCAGATAGGGAAGGACCCACCAAATTAGGGTTGAACTTCTGTCTGTTTGGACAGAAGACGTCCAAGTACTCTTAGAAGGAGAAAGACGACTTTCGAAGTTTGAGAATTCAATTAATCCTCGCACTGTACCTTCTGGGACTGTTGTAGTTATTCGACGTTAGGTTTAAGTTTCCTGACGTACATGTTGCTCACAGGGGTGACCGTTCCTGTCCTCAAACGGTATCGTCGTCTTCAATTTGGAAGTCCGTTTACAGCTTGAGTGAGTCACCAGTTGACTTTGTCAGTAGTCTCTTTTCTTTTGTTGTTTCTACCATTTTTTCCTGTTCCCAGGGGTACTTTTAGTGACACTTTCTTCTTTTTCCTGTATCACCAACCGCCTAGACGACCTCTACAAAGTTCCGGTTAACTCTGTAAAGTTTGCCGTATGTAAATTGTAATTTTCGGTCAAGTTGGCTGATGGCACTTAATTCTTTTTCGTACTGGTTGGTTCTTACGAACTAAGTAACACCTAAAAAGCCTCTTAATGAGTACATTCGAACGTCGTCTTTAGGTCCGTTACGTGAAACGGGGTTTGGTCTTCGTTCGTTGCGAGGTGTCCTTAGGAAGTACAACCGACCCTGTCGTCTCGTGTACACGAAACCGTGTTAAAGCCGTAGTTTCCTCTTTCCGGGTAGACGGTAAACCCGTGTAAACAGGGGGTAGGACCTACTTCACTTCCGGAGCATAGGAAGACAGCTCCACCACGTAAAGAAGTCACTGCCAGGTACGCGTGCGTTATGTCTGTCTTCCCTTGAAGAAGAGAAATCGTGTCTCGACTACTTGGCACCAAAGTTTTCCCCCTGTTACCTTGAAAAAACTTCGTCGGTACCCTTCCCACGAGG